ACACGGCCATGGAAACGCACTCATCTTAACTTTTTGTATTTAATGTTTTACTTTTAATGCTACATGATTGTTTTACATTGTCTATACTGCTAGTTAACTCTGTCATATATAGAAGACAGTTTTACTGTTTATAACCAATGGCTGGTTGTTCAAAAGCAAGTTAACTTTATATATAAGTAAAAACTTTTAATGCCAGATGATTACTTTACTCTTTCCACAGTGCCATAACTCTGTCATGTGTATATATAGAAGACAATTTTACTGTTTAATACCAGTGACTGGGTGTTCAAAAGCAAGTTAACTTTAATCTGGGGCAGGGCGCTGTAAAACACGTGCATGCATGGAAGCGCACTGCCAATGCTCATCGTATAGTTTATATATTTAATTTTTACTTCTAATCCCAGATGTTTGTTTTACTCTGTCCGTAATGGCAGAACTCTGCCGTATATGACAGACAAGTGGCTCAGTAGTTTTTGTAAAGCAGGTTAACTTTAACATGGGGGAAAGGCGCTGTATTTGTATAACACGGGCATGGACACGTGCTCATCTTAGCTCAATATATATAATGTTTAACTTTTAGTGCCAGATGATTATTTTACTCTGTCTATAGTGCCATAACTCTGTCATATACTGAAGAAAGTTTTACTGTTTAATACCAGTTGCTGGTTGTTCAAAAGCAAGTTAACTTTATAACCTCTTGCTCACATTAGCTTTATATATAACGTTTTACTTTTAATGCCAGATGACTGTTTTACTCTGTCATATAGTTCCAGAACTCTGTCATATATACAAGACAATTTTACTGTTTAATAGTCCCAGTGGCTCGTTGTTCAAAAACAAGTTAACTTTATAACCTGTTGCTCATGTTAGCTTTATATATAATTTTTACTTTTAATGCAAGATGATTGTTTTACTCTGTCTATAGTGCCAGAGCTCTGTCGTATATCAATCACCACCAAAGTTGCTGTGTCGATGTTGAAGGAGAATAAGAATTTGAAGCACCTAACAAAGAAATTTACCAACCAGCAAATATACGACAAGCTGAGGACGGAGAGGAAAATTGCGAAAAGAGAAAAAGAAAAAAATAAAGATATGGACTCCCGTATCGGTGACTAACTGACACATTTGTCTTTTAGGATGTTTATTGACATTCTACAGTAAAAAATAATAGACTTGCAGTACAAAACAACGCTAACTCCAAAAATCAGCATTTTAATTGTACAAGCTCTCGACTGTGCTTGTATAGTTGAAAGCTTGAACAATTTAACTGACTGTCGGAGTTACCGTTGCTTTATATTTCTTAAGATACTGATATATTCAGAACTGTAGATTTATATATCATAGAATTTTATGCAATTTTCTATCATACAAAGTGTCCAAGAAAAAACGAAAACTACCGAAATTAACTATTGTTAGAATTTGAATGAGAATACTTAGGGCTGCTTTCCAGTTACGCGTTTTTTATATGCACGTACACGCACGGAAAATTTGAAGTGTTTCTATGCGGAAAACTAAGTTCTTTCGATTTATTTACTTAGTTTTTTCAAAGATAACATATATAAGGGTTTAGACATTTCCGTGCATGTACGTGCGTATGAAAAACGCCTAACTGGAAATAATCACACATGCGTAAAAATATCGACACAGTCATATTTTCTTATTAGAAAATCGAATTATTTCAATAGTTTTTGTTTTTCCTGCATGGGCACGCTTTTTGAATGGTATCTTCCAATTTTTCTCACCATTTGGGGGTACATTCATTTTTCCAAAATGTGTGTAAACAATTATCACAATGTGAGAAGCAATTTTTCTAATGATTTACAGAAAATTTACCTTAAAATAGCACGGGTATGTTGGAGGTAGCTGAAATTAAGAAATTATTAGATTCTCTGATTAAAAATTTAAAATCTCAACCTGTGTCTTGCTTGATTCATATTTTGACTCTCAAGATGTCCTGTTTATTCAGAAATTTTTACTTTGAGAACTATCAGACCAAGGTCTTTTTGAACAAATTGAGTTTGAAGAGCGAAGTTAGTGCAAAAGATCGACCGAGCAAGCAAGGTTAATGAAAAATTTATGATATGGCACAAGGGGCATGTATATTTGCGCTTGAAACAAACAAGAAATGCATGGTTTACCAACTGTCTGGAGAAATTTTGTTAATTTCAAAAGCAATTAAATTCTCTCTTGAGCTTTTTTTTGGGCTCTTTTTAATCAGAATTTCTCAGTTTTTCACTTGTGATGGATTTCCAGTAACGCAGATCCATTACGGGAAAATGCTGGTCCATTACAGAGTTGTTCTTTACTGAAGTTGTACTTTCCTGGGGTTGTACAATTTTTTGAATAACAACCCCTAACCCCTGATATGAACAATGCTAAATTTAGTATTGTACTCTGACCAAAAATTGGAAAGTAAATCCAATGACAGAGACAGAGTAAAATGTATGTACACTGTATCTCTGATTGTTCAACACACATTACTTTGTAAGAGAATTAGAGAAATAGTATTAGCCAAGAGTCAGCATTTAGCAGCAACAAAAGATTGCCCATTTTGCAGATTGCCCATTGAAGCAAAGGATAAAGAGCTGATTTTCATCCATGGAGCTCTAATAAAAAGTTATTTAGTCAGCATGATTTCCTCAGAGTGCTAATCTGGAAATCAGAATGCTGCTGAGAATGAACAGCATGCTGTCTTGAATGCTAATAAATATAATGTCAACATACTGTTGATAAATATAAAAAATACTAATAAAATCCATTCTACATTGAACATAGAAATACACTGACTGTACACTCTGTTTTTTTACATTGAATATGAAGAACACAAGATTTCCACCTTTGGATTTTGTTTTATTTTGTATTTCTAGCTCAAGTTTTCTGCTTGCCATGGTTATAGTACACAGAATGAAAATATAAAAATGTCAAAATAACATTTCATTAGGGCAGGGGGCATTTCCCTTCATCCAAGAAATTGGTTTACAACAAAAATACCATTTTGGTATCAGATGTCTGGCCTACTGGAAAATTAGGTTTCTAAACACTTGTGCATGGGCTATAGGTTACAAAATAATTTCAGTTTATGGTTTACGTAATGTAGTTGCTAACTCTTGATCTGGAACACAAAGGGTTGGAAAAAGGGCTGGTCAAAATAACCTAAAATAAAATAGAATTACCTGGTCAATTACTATTGCATAAATAAAGTCTTACTCACCTGACAAGTTTCCTTGTTTAAGGACAAGAACACCAGCCATATGGTACTCTTGACATTTATTCATTAGGCCAAACACTTTAGCAAAAATGCAGACTACAATCACTACAGTGCACCAAATTGCGCATGACAACAAACTATAGTTTCTTGTACATCCAACAGCAATTTCAGTAAAATTGTTTTTAGTGCAATATGATGTTCATTAAATGTTTGTAGTACCTAGGTTACACTAGGGCACAGGAAAGTTACACTAGGGCACAGCCAGGTTACACTAGGGCACAGGCAAGTTACACTAGGGCACAGCCAGGTTACAGGGCACAAGCAAGTTACACTAGGGCACAGCCAAGTTACACTAGGGCACACACTAAGTTACACTAGGGCACATGTGCCCTAGTGTAACTTAATAGGTTACACTAGGGCACAGCTAAGTTACACTAGGGAACACACTAAGTTACGTAAGGGCACATCAATATGTCAGTCAGTCAGTCAGTCAGTCAGTCAGTCAGTCAGTCAGTCAGTCAGTCAGTCAGTCAGTCAGTCAGTCAGTCATAGTGTAAACTTTACGGGGGGTAGATTGATTTATGCGTATAGTACCTTTTTGAGTATGATCAGTAATTTAAAGTTTTTAAATCAGTTTAAATTGCTTTAGTTATTAATGCACTATGTCCTTTTTGCAAAGTTCACCAAAATATTGAGGAATTTTGGCGGTTACTGTAAATTTTGATGCATTGCTTTTCCGCGGTTTAGGTTTTGTTTTAAAACGATTTGCGCTGTATTACCCCCCGGAACACCCGATTTTTTCACACGTCGCAACTGCGCATGTGCCGTCCAGACTTGAACATTATTCACGATGTAAAGAAACGAGGAGCGACGAGCATTGCTTCAAAACATTCCGGGCGTAAAAATCGAGCAATTCTTTGAGAATCTACGCAATTTATCAACTTATGTTATGAATTACGAGCATTCAATTCAACACAAATATAATTTGGAAGGTTTATTCCATAAATAGAGCTAAGAGGTTAGGAAGAAACGACGCCGTGTTGTTTATGTATTGATAGACTCTTACACAGTTACACGAATTTATATTATGTCGATAGCAAGTCGATACCTGGTATTCTGCATACAGTACATAAATGATACTATAAAAAACGGACATTTTGTGCAGTAATCAAATCATTTTGGCAGTATACAGTATTGATTATAAGTATATTGTTTTGTATCGATTTACGCGTCGAAGTATCCACATCATAGACATAATATGCACCGCGGTTTATTTACATTATTTACAACGCAACTATTTTTGCTATTCTTATGAAGTGACGGATAAATTGTAGCCATCGTATATATGTAGTGAATGTAGTCACAGTTGTTTGACGAAGAAAAGAGACTAAACTGAGAAAATCGCGCCCGGTTAGGTTTACATGGGCAACTAAAATTGTAATTTATTAGTGACAGTATCCGCGGCTAACGTAACTTGAGTACTTTGAGTAATTTCCTTTTGATTAATGTTTAACCTAGTTCATTATATTTTTACTGGCATAAGTCAAACAAAATTTTTATGTTGGGACAAACGTCTGGTTGCTTAGGTATTACAGGGCATGAAAACTTTGCACTATCCTTGGATCCCTAGTTAGCTTTTATTCACGACGTCAATGAACCTGATGATAAATATCAAAACGAAAATGAGGTATAACAATGTATTAATATGTGTGCACCATAATGGCATGTAGTCTTCTGTGGTTTAGTGTTAGTCTCCAATTTTCTTCGTATTTTACATTTTCTGTTGTTGTAGAACTTATTGGCTGATAGGAAGTGTTATTCCTTGCGTTGCGAAAGAATCGAGACATTACAGGGTCAACTTGCTATTACTAACAAAGGAATAGCTTTTGCCAAAAGCCAGATTGCAGTTGGTTTGAAATATTTTCGACATCTAGGTACTTCTCTGGCAAGCCTGGAAGAAATTGATGAGAAATGCGATGATGATGATGTCATAATTAATAATAAAAATGTCATATATTATAGGAAAAATAAATAGTAATAAAACTCTAAATTTGTATACTGATCTATATATGACAATTCCTTTTTAGTTTAGGAGTGTTCCATGCATGTGACAAGTTCGTTTACAGTTATCAATATACTGTAGTTTATATATCATAATCTTCCTAGTTCCTACGCTCATATTATGGTTATAAAACTTATCCCGTCGTAAAATGCACTAGAATGGATAAGCCTACTTACTCAGCACTCGTTGGAGTGTTTGAAAATTTGCATTATATTGAAGTTTGGATGCATATTATAATATTCGCGACTATTTATACCATATTATGTTTGTTATGATTAGCATGGTTTTGTAAAGTTCTTGTACGCCTAATCAATGCATCTTACGCGAAGCAATGGAAATATCTCTCTTTATTTTATTTCAGGATATTGTTTAATTTGTGTTAAATCAACTATTGCTATCATAAGGGGATAATATATGGGAGTACGAAGTTGTGTGTTTTAAAATACGACCCTCCCAGCTTTGTTAATAAGCGCAATCTAATACGTCTTTCCTGGGCATTGTGAACCCTAAAATGGGCCGAAATAATCAAAATTTTCTCAAAATTTCCCAATTTGGACTTATGTTTGAAAAACCCTAGATCCGCCCCTGCGGACGTTGTATTAACGTCGCGCCGTGACGTTAATCTTAACGTTACTACCACGTTCCTACAAGCTCACAAAAAAAACGTTTACCCAAAATAACGTTATCTAAGCGTTCGACGAACGTTGATACAACGTTCATACAACGTGATTGTGCTAGCTGGGTTTGGTGTTTACCACATATTAGCACTTACCAGACGTAGGCTTCCAGCCGGGCTGGTAAATTTCCTTGTGCATTAAGCCAGTTTCTTTTGGTCCCACCTGGTACATAAATTTCTGAAAGGGTTATTTGGATGAATTCTTTTGAAGCATATCTCGTAAAATGGAAATAACCACAATGTTCAAGTACAACACACAACAGACTGTAATGCCTTACATACAGTGTTCTATGCCATATAGAGATGTACTGATCAAGAACTCAAGTTGGTGCCCATTGCCAGTCTCTGCTCGGTTTTTACTCAGCATTATGCACCATTTTGTTATTCGCCATTGACGAGTTAAGGTGATTTGGATTTCAGTCTAACATTAGCACTCGATGGCATTAACATGCAGCGACATTCGCGATCGAGTGACTATGCTATCGAGTGACCCGAGTTGTGCATGCGCACATTTTTATCATTACACAATTGGAAAAGCTAATTTTCTCAAACAATCAAAAAAGGTGTGCTAAAATATTAAATCTCGGGAATTCTAAATCTTTACAAAACAAAAACAGCTTATACTTGATATTATTTCAATTTTAGGAGTAATGAAAAGCGCATCAATTCATCCATATTTCGCGAGTATAGCGGCGATGAGTATGTTCCTTTTTACTACCTTTATTCAAAAATATACCCTATCCTTTAGCTTTACTTTAGCGTACTATATCGCTGAATGTAGCAACCAATACCAGTGTAATGTTTTATCTATTGTTATACTTAAGTCTTTTCGGTGTCATTAATTAATTGATCATTACTGAAAGAAAGAGTGCTCGAACTGTTTCTGCAAATGCTATAGCCCCCCCCCCTCCCCCTACGCTGGTATTCCCTGCATGTGCATTTCTCTAATTAATGTTCAGTATACCATTTTTATATCTCTTCACTTTAGAATTCAAAGCCGATTGTAACGAATGTGTCCACATCTGTGTCTTGAATTCATCATCATCGGCCTCCTTCGGTCTGTGGTGACCATGGGTTGAAAATCCTAGTTGTCTGTCCTGCTGGAACAGCGCCGCCTGTGGCTGAACAGGCCGATGCGCGAATGGCAGTCTCTGTCACACAAGTCACACTTGTGGATTGTCTCTGTGCTGTGAGAGCGGTCACGTTCTTTTCTGCGGGCTCGCTTTTCCTCCGCAGCACCTTTCAGCCGCTCCTCTCCTGTCTTCAGCTGTGTGGTCGCTGTGCTTCTCCATCTAGAGCGGTCGTCGGCCAGGCTCTCCCAGCGCTCTGTGTCGATCTCAAGAGCTTTCATGTCCCTCTTGCAGACATCTCTATAGCGCAGCTGTGGGCGGCCAGTGCCTCTCTTGCCACTCGCCAGTTCTCCGTAGAGGATGTCTTTGGGGATGCGGCCGTCCTCCATGCGGTGAACATGGCCCAGACAGCGGAGCCTTCGTTGTCTGAGCAAGGTAAACATGGTTGGAAGGCCGGCGCGAGACAAGACTTCGGTGTTGGGCACTTTGTCCTGCCACGAAATGCCCAGTATGCGGCGGACGCACCTCAGGTGGAAGGCGTTCAGTCTTCTTTCTTGTTTGGCGTAGGTCGTCCACGTCTCACTCCCGTACAGTAGTGTACTGAGGACACAGGCATTGTACACTGCCATCCTGGTCTTGATGGAAAGTTTGGAGTTCTCCCACACTCGTGTGGTGAGGCGAGCGAGTGTTGTTGCTGCCTTCCCAATTCTTTTGTCCAGTTCTGTGTCCAGTGAGAGGTTGCTGCTGATCGTGGACCCCAGGTATGTGAATTCGTTCACGACTTCCAGCTCGTAGTCGTCGATGGTGATAGATGGTGGCACTTCCACGCTCTGTCCCAGTACTTTGGTCTTCTTTAGACTAATAGTAAGCCCGAAGTCCTTGCAGGCCTGGGAAAAGCGGTCCATCAGGGTCTGGAGCTCCTGCTGTGTGTGTGTTGCGACTGCAGCATCGTCGGCAAACAGCATGTCGCGGATCAGGGCCTCTCGTACTTTGGTTTTGGCTTTGAGGCGGGCAAGGTTGAACAGCTTGCCGTCGGATCTGGTGTGTAGGTAGATCCCCTCTGTTGATGAGCCGAAGGCATGCTTCAGGAGCAATGCAAAGAAGATCCCGAAGAGAGTCGGGGCGAGGACGCAGCCTTGTTTGACGCCGCTGCGTATGTCGAATGGCTCCGAGATACTGCCGTCGTACTGTACAGTTCCCTTCATATCAGTGTGGAAGGATTCGACGAGGCTCTGCAGCTTTGGGGGGCATCCTATCTTTGGCAGGATCGCGAATAGGCCTTCTCTGCTGACCAAGTCGAAAGCCTTCGTCAGGTCAATGAAGGCAACATACAGCGGCATGTTCTGTTCTCTGCATTTCTCCTGGAGTTGGCGGAGGGAGAAAATCATGTCTACCGTTGATCTGTTGGCGCGAAAGCCACACTGGGACTCAGGGTAGACGCGTTCGGCGAGTTTCTGTAAGCGAACGAGGATGACGCGCGCGTACACCTTGCCAACTATGCTGAGGAGAGAGATCCCCCTGTAATTGTTACAGTCGCTTCTTTCGCCCTTGTTTTTGTAGAGGGTGATGATCTTGGCATCCCTCATGTCTTGAGGTACAGCACCTTCCTTCCAGCACTGGCAGAGGACTTCGTGCAGTGGACGCAATAGGGTAGTCTTGCAGTGCTTGATCAGGTCGGGTGGTATACCGTCACTGCCTGGAGCTTTTCCTGCGGCCAGGCTGTCAATGGCCTTATTGAGCTCATCCAAGGTTTGCTCCGCGTCGAGCACGTTCATGGTCGGTAGGCACTCGATAGCATCAAGAGCTAAGGGGGACACTGTGTTCTGTGTGGAGTAGAGGTCGGAGTAGTGTTCCACCCACCTCTCCATCTGCTGGCCCTTGTCTGTGATGGTTTCCCCAGTGGAGGATTTGAGGGGTGCCGTTTTGCTCTGAACTGGGCCCAGTGCCTTCTTGATGCCATCGTACATCCCTCTGATGTTCCCAGTGATGGCGGCAGTCTGAATGTCTTCACTTAGCTGCATCCAGTACTCGTTGGCGCAGCGCCGTGCCGTCTGCTGGACTTTGCTCCTTGCAGCTCTGAGGATCTGGAGGTTCCTCTCGTTTGGGGTCCGCTTGTACTCGGCGAGAGCAGCGCGCTTGGCTTCGATGACAGGGGTCATCTCAGTCGTCTTGGCTTCGAACCAATCATGCGACTTGGTGGTTTTCTTCCCAAAGGTAGTCAAGGCTGTGTGGTGTATGGTGTTTCGCAGTTCCTCCCACCTCTTCGTTGCAGATTCCTCGTGCCCCAAGGTGCCAAGCTCCTTCTCAAAGGCGGCGGCGAACTGCTCCACAAGTTCTGGTTGGGCCATCTTGCTGGTGTCAATGCGTGCCTTTCCTTGCTGTCTGGCGCGGTGGAATTTCTTTGGCTGCATCCTGAACTTGCAACACACCAGTGAGTGGTCTGTGTCACAATCCGCACTCTGGTAGGAACGGGTCAATAGCACGTTCTTCAGGGAGGTGCGTCTGGTCAGGATCATGTCCAGCTGGTGCCAGTGTTTGGAACGCGGGTGGCGCAAGGAAACTTTGTGTTGTGGCTTGGTCTGGAAGTAGGAGTTGGTAATGCACAAGTTGTAGTACGTGCAGAACTCCAGTAGACGCTGTCCGTTTTCATTCATCTTGCCCACACCAAATTCACCGAGGCAGGACGGCCAGGAGTCATGATCGGCGCCCACTCTGGCGTTGAAGTCGCCAAGCAGAACTAGTTGTTCTGTGCTGGGGATATTCCTGACAGTGGCTGCTAGGTTCTCATAGAACTCATCCTTGGCTTCTGGGTGGCGGCCAGCGTTGGGGCGTAGACACTGACGAGAGTGACAGGGCCTTCAGTGGTGTTAAGGCGGAGAGTCAGGAGTCGCGCAGAGCCATTGCTGCCTGGTTCAACCATCTTCAGCAATGTATTCCTAACTGCAAAGCCCACTCCGTACTCCCTGGGCTCGTTGGAGCCCTTTCCCTGCCAGAAGAACGTATAGTCTTTCTCTCTCAGTGTGCCCGAGTCAGCCAGTCGTGTTTCCTGCAGGGTGGCGATGTCTACGTTCAGTCTCTTCAGCTCGTCGTTGATGACGGCGGTCTTCCTGGCGTCGCTGATGTGTTTGAGGTTTTCTGCGAGGCCGGTCATCATAGTTCGTA